AATATAAAAACGGTTACTGTGTCCTTAGAAAATAGACATATATCGTCGAGGACTTTTTTGTAGATCTTTTGATACAATTTCGTAGAACATTATTTTGATTTATCTATTAAGGATCAGCCAACGTTTGCTAAGTAAGCGCGAAAAACCATGTTTTGTAAGACAAATCTTTGAAATTCTTTCTAATACATATAAACCTTCCTCTGAAATCACTCTCTCTATTGGTGAAAACCGCATTACAACAAACAACTAATCCAACTCAGAATAATGCGTTTAAGACATGTAGTAGAAGAAATACATTTTTATGTTATTTTGTAATCCTTATTTATGTTCTTGGAGAAAATCGTAAAAATAATTTAATTTTAATGTATTAGGGAAATTAGGTACATGCTGTGCGTGCATAAAAATATTTTTTACTAAAAGTTAAGTCGTCATGGAACACGAAAACGTTGCAACATTACTGTCGACTATTTTCCCAAAAAAAAAACAGTAAAAAAATGGAACGCTTTGTAATCGTTCCGATACACACAAGATTGTTGTCACGCAACGGGCACTTTGGGTGACCCGCCTGTGATTTAATCCATGAAACATTTTATACGGACGTGCGATGGTTCATATTGTGGAAAATACAGATACTTAGGTATCAAAGAAAACTATTGAGTAGGTAATAATATTCTTTGTATGAAAATATGCATGTATGAGTTCAAGATATAAGTACGGACGAATATCCCTATTGGATAGTTTTACACGACCCAGGCCTAAAGCAAGATTCACACAGGGTAAGTAACTGACAATTGGGAATATGCATGTATTTTTTTTATTTTTTTAAACGATTCTACTCGTTATTACATTACCAAAAATAAATATAACACATCCGAAATATAAACCGTTAAGCAAAAAAAAAAAAATTAATATCACTATCATTTTGGGGCAATTTGAACACCTCCATTTTGGCGCGCTTTTTTTGTAACGTCAGACTACACTTTCAGACGAATTCGATGTCAACTACCGAGTGAAGTTCACAAAGTTTGTGAAATTTAAAAAATTGAGTGATATAAATTAACTTATTACCATGGAAAAGCCAATAAAAACTTATTATAAATATTGTGCCGTTCCTTTGTGCCAAAATAATATCAAAACTGCACTTGACAAAGTATATTCAGTCATTGTGTTGAGTCTTTCTACACGGGAATTTAATAATTTAACACTGAAAACGTATTAGTTATTAACTTAAAATGAAACAAATAATCACCAGAAACCAAATATTACAAATACACACAACTTGTTGACACTCTTGACAGTGTAGGTTGACGTCACGTTTTATTCAACCAATAGCGTTGCGTTTTAGAAATTTGCGAGGGAATCTTAAAAAAGCCAATTTTTGATGATTAAATTTCACTATTAAATTATAATAAATTTAAAAAATAATTGTATGGGTATCTTCTGTTAGCAATAAAAATGACAAATAAAAATATTTTGTCCATTTTGGTGTCACGTGCATATTCCCTATTCAGTGCTAAGACTAACCCGACATTTAACTATAAATTGTATAAATTTAACTGTAAATGGATTTATAGCCTGGTGTATACATAGCTTTCACGTCAGTGTTGACTTCAATATTCCAGCTCGAATATTTTTAAGTTAGCTGTCTCCACTCATCACTTTTGTAAGCGCTACTGACTTTGCTCAAATCACTGCTAGGATAGTTACTAGCGCTGCGTTGTAGTTTGAGGACGTCGCGTGATCATTGAAATAATGGGCGAATTAAAGGAGGACGACAGCCTAAACTTGTTCGACTGCACGGATGGCGTAGTGGTTTAAGCGGTCGCCACGCTGCTTCCTACTACGTCGAGTGTTTTGGGTTCAAACCCCACACGGGACGACATTTTTTTGTGATCCACAAATTGTTGTTCTGAGTCGGGGTGTTCTTTGTGTTCGTTTCATGTATGTTTTTAAAGTACCCCGCGACACAGGATGTATTCCTAATGCGGGAGTTGTCTTTTTAAAAAAGAAAGAAAGAAAAGACATTATATGGCTAAAATCCTTGCCTTTATGACATTCGATCCCATGATTACAGATTTATATCTGTAATTTTGATTTATATTTATATTTATCATATCTGATTTATATTTGTATTTATATTTGTGACTTTATAGTCATGCGTACAACAACATCGCGAAAAATTGCTGAACAAATGGATTAAGAAAATTCAAATTATTTCCACATTGGCTACAATAACGTGTGAACACTGTGAAGACATTACCAAAAATACTGACTGCATGTAAAGTGTTGTCAGTATTTAGTACCAGACAGGTCCCATAGCGGTGACAGCGAAACTGACCGACTGATGGACCACGTCCAAATGACTACAGATTACGTGCTGCAGCAGATCCTATTTGCGGAGATCGTGATACTTGGCGACTTTAACGCTCACAACGCCGAATGGCTTGGCTCACGCAAGATCGATCACGCGGGGAGATCTGTTCACGTTTTCGCCCTGACCTATGGCTTGTCACAACTGGTATCTACGCCCACGCGAGTTCCGGATATAGAAAATCATGAGCATTCATCAGTCGTGTGGGCCCGATGGAATTTCTGCTATCGTGTTGAAGACGTGTGCTCCGGAGTTGGCACCGGTTTTAACGCGCCTTTTTCGTCTCTCCTACTCCCAAGGCGTCGTCCCGAACTCCTGGAAGGTAGCGTTTGTGCACCCGATCCCTAAAAAATTTGACCGCTCTGACCCGTCCAACTACAGGCCTATAGCCATAACTCCTTTGTTCTCAAGATTATGGAATCCATAATCAACAGCCAGCTCCTCTGGTACTTGGATGATCACCAGCTATCGGATGATCGCCAGGGTCGCTCAGCTGATGATCTTTTTGTCTCTCTAACACACTGGTGGGCACATACGATCGAGACCAAAGGAGAGGCTTGTGCGTTTAGTTTGGACATAGCAAAGGCCTTTGGTCGGGTCTGGCATAAGGCGCTTCTCTCGAAGCTCCCTACCTTTGGGCTTCCCGAGAAATCATGTAATTGGGTCACCAGCTTCCTTGCGGACAGAAGCATTAAGGTCGTTGTCGACGGTGCATGCTCCGATTTAGAATTCGTAAATGCTGGTGTCCCACAAGGCTGTGTGCTATCACCCACACTGTTTCTTCTGCAAATCAATAACATGTTGCAAACTATTAGCATCCATTATAGCATCCAGATGATAGCACAGGAGATGCCCTTTATACCGGCCGCCTCAATATTTCTCGGGAAACGTCATCGAGAGTCGAAACAAACTTGTCTGAAATTGAAACTTCCTTAGCGGAGGTTTCAGATTGGGGCCGACTAAATCTAGTCCTGTTTAACCCAAAAAAGACACAGGTATGTGCGTTTACCGCAAAAAAGATACCATTTGTCGTATCACCTCAGTTTGACAGCACCTCCCTAACTGCCTCAGCCAGCATCGGAATCCTAGGCATCGACATATCGAGCGAAGTCCAGTTTCGGGGTCACTTAGAGGGTATGGTCAAATTGGCCTCGAAGAAGCTCGGTGTCCTGAACAGAGGGCACCAGTACCAGCTTCTCCCTCTGGAGCGCATCCAACAAAGAGCGACTCGAATCGTCGATAGCCCAAACATCTCCGATCAGCTCGATCCCTTGGCGTTACGTAAAGATGTGGCTCACTCTGCATTCTCTATCGCATATATCCTGGAGAGTGCTTCGAGGAATTGTTCGGACTAATACCAGCCGTAAATTTCCGCCATCGTTCCACACGGCAAAATTTTCATCCTCATTAACTGGATAGTTGGCGCTCCACTAATGTGGGCTTTTTGAGACACTTTTTGCCCCGCACAACCAATCTGTGTAACGGGTTATCGTCTACGGTATTTCCGGACCGATACGACCTTCAAACCTTCAAGAAAAGAGCGTACTCCTTCCTAAAAGACCGGCAACGCGTTTGTGACTCCTGAGTTGCAGACGTTCATGGGTGGCGATAGTCACTTTCCATCAGGTGACCCGTCTACTCGTCTGTACCCTCTAACATAAAGACCTGTAACTGACCCGTTTACGCACCCTGTGTAAATCCGCCTTAAATCAGCCTAATTAGTAAAGATGTGAAAAATGTAGTAAGTGTTCTCTAAAAACAGTAACCAACATCTATGGTCAATTTGTTGTAGATAGATTCAAACAGTACGAGTGCGAGAGGTTTTAAGTTAAACAATATGAAATATGTTGAACAGCATTTTTATTATTTAATATTAACATAATCATCTGCTTTAACTTGTTATAGGTTATTTTGATGGAATACTAAAATTGTTAAACCTATGATAAGTACAATCTTACAAATTCTGCTCAGCAACTGTAACTTTTCCAGAAAATTACCGATCTGTTTTTAAATCTACGTAATTTAAATAACTCCCGTAAGTAATTGGCAATAAATAATATCACAAAAATCATATTACACGATGCAATACGCTATGCCCAAAAGTATTAGTTACATACATTTCACAAGTGGATATGTCACAAAATATCTCGTACGTAATAATATTGTTACTTAAAATACGCGAATTCAAAAAACGCTATAATATCAATTATATAAGTATTTGACAGTAACAACAATACATGGAGCTCAAGGGAACTAGGACACAGATAACTTTTAACCTTACCTAAATCACGCTATTTTATAATAACCCTTATAACATTTGGGGATCTCAGACCCATACAATGAAATAGTATATATAAAGCTGTTGTTTGCACACAACTTACGCATACAAGGATTACAAAAATAGTTTAACACGACACTTATCATTAATGGAATATTACAATAAAAAATATTTCTATACCGTATCAGGCGGTTTTTCAAATCAGAAATATTTCCATGTTGTTCCATCGCATCTGAAAAGGCTCGTTGCCATTGTGCGTCAGAATGCGTAATAATTACGCGTGAAATACGTTCCTTATTGAGTTACGAATTTAATGTAATAACAATAAAACATAACTCGACATTGTAATCTTCACATAGACGTTGGAGACCAAAAATTCATTTCTCGCAGTTCTGAAGGTTTAGGCCGGAACGCTTGCGCTGGTTTAGCGGGTGTGGAGCCTTGGGCGACGGCTTCATTGACAACCTTCATAGGCTCCTTCTTGCGGGGAGCGGGGCCTAGATTTTCTACTGATTCTGCAAGATGACCTAGTTAACAAACAATTAAGTTTAGTAATAGTACACAATACCACTAACTTGAAATCAATTTAAATTAAACCTTGATTACTGTGTTGTGTGGCTGGGTGGAAACTTTTGATAAATACACAAAATTAATATAAAATACAATAGGGAATATGCACGCGACACCAAAATGGACAAAATATTTTTATTTGTAATTTTTATTGCTAAAAAAAGATACCCATACAATTATTTTTGAAATTTAATCATCAAAAATTGGCTTTTTTAAGATTCCCTCGCAAGTTTCTAAAACGCAACGCTATATGTTGAACTAGCTGACCTGCGCAACTTCGTCTGCGTCTCTCAATAGTAATAAATTTTCTCCGTTTTTGAAACATTCTTCATTGGTGCTCCGCTCCTATTGGTCTTAGCGTGATGATATATAGCCTATAGCCTTCCTCGATAAATGGGCTATCTAACACTGAAAGAATTTTTCAAATCGGACCAGAAGTTCCTGAGATTAGCGCGTTCAAACAAACAAACAAACAAACAAACAAACTCTTCAGCTTTATAATATTAGTATTGATAAAACGTGACGTCAACCTACACTGTCAAGAGTGTCAACAAGTTGTGTGTATTTGTAATATTTGGTTTCTGGTGATTTTTTGTTTCATTTTAAGTTAATAACTAATACGTTTTCAGTGTTACATTATTAAATTCCCGTGTAAAAAGACTCAACACAATGACTGAAACCGGTTTTGTCAAAGTACAATCAGATAATCTTCCTAAAATAGACGTGTTTATGATGAGCACCTATTTCGCATCTAATTCAGATTTTACGTCTGCTGAACTCAGAGGAGTAAAAGCTGCGAGGTAAACAAGTTATATAAATTTTATTAAATGATCGTTTTCATGGATTTGTTAATAGTCGTATAACATAAATATAACCTAAAATACGCTCAGGTGCAGTTTTGATATTATTTGGGCACAAAGGAACGGCACAATATTTATAATAAGTTTTTATTGGCTTTTACATGGTAATAAGTTAATTTTTATCACTCAATTTTTTAACTTTCAGAAACTTTGTGAACTTCACTCCGTTGTTGACATCGAATTCGTCTGAAAGTGTAATCTAACGTCACAAAAAAAGCGCGCCAAAATGGACGTGTTCAAATTGCCCCAAAATGATAGTTATTTTAATAAAAAAATTTTTGCTTAACGGTTTATATTTCGGATGTGTTATATTTATTTTTGGTAATGTAATAACTAGTAGAATCGTTAAAAAATTTATTAAAATACTTGCATATTCCCTATTGCGAATGTGTTTCTTTTTTTTCCTTTAACTACTTACTGCTCATAATGAAATCAATCACCACCAAAAAATTTGTTGTTGCCGAGGCCATTAATTGATCGGCCAAACTTATATTATCATGATCAAAGCCGCAAGCACAAGCTAGTTAATTTGGTTATTTAACCGACGTTCATTTAATTATATAATGTAAATAGTCTTAACCATTTACCTCGTCTTATGTCTACAAAATCTTCTTCAGCCAAAGTAGATGTGGACGTCGTGAGATCTTTCTTGAAGCCCAGTAGAGCCATTGACAACCAAGACCGGTTTGGAGAATCCTCTTTAGCTTCAAAGGGTGATGTAAAGTAACTGTAAATTAAAATAAAAAAATTATTAACTTAATGTTCTATGTATATAAATACAATTACTACATGCATCGCGATGAAAATTTTTGTTTTATTTTCGTCGCCAAATACTTTTATGTAAAAACTGTGTAATGTAAACGCTGACGTTACGTCAATATTTAGTATAGTTCCCGGCACGGACCTTGAGCTCTCGTCGGCAGAGTGGGGATCGCTTGCGCATCCTGCACTTATGACAAAATAAAATGCACACCCATTCATTATTATTTATTTTTTCTTAGTTAGAGTAGATTAAAAATACATCAAAACCATAAGACGTTACGTAGTAAAGTAACTACGTAACTTCCAATTGATTCTATTTTAAGATATAATGGTTTAAATAAAAAAAAATGTTTAACAAAGATTTTCCCTATAATTCTTTTTTGTTAAAAAGACAACTCCCGCATTAGGAATATATCCTGTGTCGTGGGGGGACTTTACAAAGATACATGAAACGGACACAAAGAACACCCAGACTCAGAACAACAATTTGTGGATCACAAAAAGTGTCGTCCCCTATGGCGATCGGACCCACAACACTCAGCGTAGTACTAAGCGGCGTGGCGACCACTTAAACCACTACGCTATCCGTGCAGTCAATTATTATGGTAAAATAGGAGTGATACCTTCCATCAAATCACTTTCTTATATAAAGCTGATACTGGTACGGAAAATTACACACCATATCACGAATACATCCCCAACTCCCCAATTTAGAGGATATGAAATCTTAATTCAAATTACAAAGCTCAAGTCTGAAAAAAGCACAGGTCAAAATGGAATCTCAAACCAATATATTAAAATTGCAAGAACCCTATTATATATACAACCCTATTATATTAAAGACTCTATTATATTATAGAACCCTATTATAATAACCCTATTATATTATTTAATAAAATATTAGACGAGGAAGCCGTGTCACATTCATGGACGGAATCAGAAATAATCTTGTTATATAAAATATATTATTGCTTATTGGACAATAGTTTGGGGGAGACCCAATGGATATAGGAAACTATCGTCCAATAAGCCTAATGTCTTGCCTCTACAAACTGTTTGCCTCCTGTCTGCTTGCAAGAATATCCTCAGAGATCGACGTCCATCAGCCGATAGAACAAGCCGGCTTCAGATCAGGCTTCAGCACACATGACCACATCCAAGTTCTAGACCAGGTAATCAAAAAATATGAAGAATTCCGCAGACCTCTATATGTAGCGTTCATTGACTATAAAAAGGCTTTTGACACTATATCGCACGATAGTATCTGGGAAGCTTTAGAATCAATAAACATTGAAGATAAGTACATGAACATTTTGAAAAACTTATATGTGAAAAGTACAAGTCGAATCAAACTAGATAGAATGGGTACGAGAATTAATATAAACAGATGCGTGAGACAAGGCGATCCGCTCTCACCAAAACTATTCATAGCTGTAATACAACATCTAATGAAAAACCTACAATGGTCTAGGAAGGGATTAAACATAAACGGCGAATACCTAAGCAATCTCCGCTTCGCTAACAATATAATTTTACTCTCCGAGAGCTCTGCACAACTGAATAATATGATTAGCAGCCAGCATCATGGTCGGTCTTGAAATGAATCTTGATAAAACGAAAATAATGACTAATCACCACACCGCGTCCATCTTCGTAAATAACATCCCTCTAGAAAGATAGAAACAGGGAGGAAATAGATCGCAGGATATCAATAACCTGGAAGAAATATTGGGCACACAAAGAAATACTCAAATCCCAACTCAAACCGCCCATTAAGAAAATAGTTATGGATTCAGTGATTTTACCGTGTCTTACCTACGGCTCTCAAACTTGGACTTTCAACCAACAAACCAGAAACAAAATACAAACTACACAAAGAAGAATGGAAAGAAGCTTATTAGGTGTAAAATTAAAGGACAAGATTAAAAATAAGCACATTCGCAACAAAACCGAAACAAAAAGTAACCGACGCTTTAATTTTCTCGCTGAAAATGAAATGGAGATGGGCAGGACACGTAGCCCGTTACGATGACGATAGGTGGGCCATTAGAGTGGTGAACTGGCAAGGCCCTACAGGTCGTAGGGTTAGAGGCCGCCCATGCACTTGGTGAAGGTAGCAGGAGAAAATTGGATACACTTGGCTAGACACAAAAACAAAATAATATGCAAAAATGAATTAATCTGATCATAATGCAATTGAAATTATTTCAAAAGAATTATATTTATTAATCATAATGTATTGTAATAGGCTGAATGGAATTCAATAAAGCTTTATTATTATACTGGTACGGTGGCCATTTCTTCATCATCACTTCATTAATTGTGTTATAGGTATATATTAGAGAACTTATTACGCCATAATATGTTTTCTCTGGCCTTGGGAGAGTTGTGTCGTAGTAACGAGACAGATTAATAGATAAAACAATTACAGTCTCGAAATAGTAGCAATGCTATACATACCGAGTGCTTTTGTGATTATGATTTTAAAAGTTTGTGTTGTTTTTTTTTCAGACTGGTTTAAATAACTATAATGCAATATTATTAATACATATCATTAAAATTGAAAAAGTCAACTTATAAACAAGTTTGTGAAAAAAGAAAAAGTAACTGGTTTTATAGATGTGTTACAAAACGTAACAGATGACAACTTTGAGTTTTTACTGTAGCTATATTAATATGTTACTACTTACCTATACATATATGTTTACAGAATGTATTTCTCATACAAGCTTATGGTCCACTTACAATACAAAAGATAAATAATACCTAACATGAATAGTGAATTGACAATATCTAGCGTGTTAGAAAGTTTTTACTTATATCAGGAACGAACGACTATCTGTTATTTCAAATAAATATTAATCCGATATGTAACAAGAGCTCTACTTCTAATCTATCTATCTAATTATATCGCAGAAATGTTTACCGATTAGCGTGGAATTTCCTGCGGGAATTAGGGCTGCCGGGTGGTGAGTGTAGGGGAGAAGCCGGCAGAGACTTGCTGCTGCGTCGGTGCATCAAGTTGTACTGGCCCATGTCGGGTGTGTCTATATCCTCCTCCGGTAAAGCTATCGTGAACCCACGTGACGACTGCGTTGATATCAACTTGTGAGCCACCTGCGAATATAAATCAAAAGATTCTATTAAAATCTAGTACTAAATCGATTATATGTCTGATACGAAAAACATATCCATTTATTTTCAATTTACAAGGAACATCCACAGACAGTTGGCCGGAACTCGCTTTTCATATTTTCTATAAACTAGTAATAAATGTCGGCCAGTGCCCATATAGATTATCTCCAAGTAAAAGCTACCTCACTATATAATAGATAATGATTATAGCTTTTATCCATCTGGAATTTAGTACCTACCTTTTTAATAGTGAAAGAATTTAAAATAGTTTAGTGGCTGAACTCTCAAAAGGAATATTTCACATGAGTGTTTTCCCCACCATACAATAATTTACAAAACAGTACAAAGTGTATTATATTTTAGTGATCTCTAACACAATATTAATTCTCAAGATCACCTAGAAATGACGAAACATTCGCCAATGTTTTTGCACACTAAAAACAAGTATGTTTAAGATAAGAGCATTTTAAAGGCAAAGTATATTATTTCATTGCGTTTAATCTTTTTATTTATTTAATGGGTAGGTGAACCACTTCAGTGAGTACTTATTTACAAGATAGTGACCTACCTATTATTAATAAAAAATTGTTCGCTAACGTTAAACGATGTCATTGAGTTTTAATAATATCAAGTATGAGTAACGAAGATTATGAACATAAACTGACTTTACGGGGGGTGTTTACATGGGCTACTTGAATCCCAATTTAGTACTCATAATTTACTATAGATACCTATTAACTTGTACAAAAATAATAGCAAATGATATCTACTGCATACATGTATGATATAAAACAATGTATATTACACATTTAATCATTTCAGTTTACTATGTACATGTATAAATGTGTGTATACTAAATAGGTGTCTTAATACAAAAATATACTCAAAATGAATTGAAAATCGTGCTAGAATCAAATTGCTTAATCAAACAGTACACATTTAAATTCAACCTTGTTATTCTTTAACTCGCCATGGAAGAATTAAAAAGAAATAGTATCGTCAATTCTCCAATCGCTCACCTTGACAATCGAGTTGCCGCAAGCCGCGCCCTCGCCTTTGAAGCCGTCGTCTGTACCAGCTGGCTTCGGCTTCGACGTCACAGAATTAACTGAAAGTAACCAAGCGAGTTGGTTGTTTAGTTTACATGTTGCAACATCTAACGAGCATTGTAAGCACTGACGTCATTTGCATAAGATATTATTATAATATGCATGCACCCGCGGTTTTGTAACCTATAACACTAGTAAATTTGATTTCATTTTTTTATTAATTCGTAAACAAAAATGTTTGTTAACAAATTAATAAAACTTGTAATTGTTTTTTAAACATAAATCTGTACCCGTCTGTTACTAACGCATTGATATCGACCGAGAGGATATTTTTCATGAATGAGCCTGTTTTATTCACTGCGTCCAAGAAGTAAGTATTTTGTAGAATTTAAACTTATAGCTACAATAAATTCATAATAAACACATTTGATTGTAGGAAAAACAAAGTAATTGTTTTCGTTTAAAGCTGTCAGTGACTTATGAATGACTAACTTTAAAAAAGATATTTAAAAAAGTCTCACCAGCTGTATTGATTGGCGGGATCCCGTGCATCACTTCTTGACATGGCTTCGTGTGTTTGGACCAGTCTTTCTCCTTGACAATGGTATGGGCAGGAGCTACCTTAATATCTTTAACTTGTTCACTGAGCAATTTCGGAACAGCCTTCTCAGCTGTTGGTTTTCCAAATAAAATGTCGCTTTTAGGATAACGGATGAAAAATGCGTCTTCAAGTGCTGGAGGTGACGCCGCAAATGATTCGTATTCTCTGTAAACCAAAAAACATTTTTTTTTAATACAAATCATATTATCTTAGAGATCGAATCCCGTGTCCATTGTTAAACCTTATAATATAACAACTGAGATAATATTATACTAACAGTCGTGGAAAACAAAACACTGCTTTTTGCTTTGACTAATATTAGCCACGTAATTATCAGGTTAATCTTTAATATTGTTAGCTAAAAACACTTCAAAATTCACAACACTTACGATAAGATGTTATTAAACTGAAGCACTATATTCCTTTTTTTCAGCATTTTTGCAGATATTCTTAAATCGATTCTACTTAATACAATATTTAGTTCTAAAGATTTTAAAAGACTGATGCCAAGTGTCTATTACGAGTATCTTTCTATTGCAAAAAATGTACGTGTGATAATTTCAAAATGGCGCTTCACGCTGTACAAAATTACATTAGAATGTTGATACGCGGTTCTGTTTTCCTTTATATAGTTAACTAAGCTCGGTTGTTGATACCCGCGATAACAGGAGGCAAGTACACAATGGCACGTCACTAGGAAAAATAAGTTTAATAAACAAGCTGACATGACGTCACGTTGAACGGACCAATGACAGAGACCTCTCGAATACTCCCCTCTTTAACACATACATCACATCACGTGTCGTCGACATTGTTTAAGTAAAGGTTAAAGGCAGGCGCTCAAAATAGTCCACAGCGAAATATAACTACTTGCTCTTGGCAACTGCAGAAATGACATCTACCTATTTCCACGAATTAAGAATACGTACTGTGATGTCAGTAACATCAGCAATTGTATTTCATGCGTAAATTCTGACGTCTTGAAATAGAAGTAGGCACGGCATAGTTTATTTTTAAAATTAGTTGGTATTTTTTCGTATTTATTCCGTCATTTTTCAAAACAAAGAAATTTCTTATATATTCCTAATTAATGAAATTAAATAATTAATTAATCACATCTTTTACTATTAATTTTGTAGATATAATATATCCTTTAAAAAATATATATTCAATACTATTTAAAATCTATACATAGTTTTTTTGTTTATTAACAGTGTACACAAAATTTATGTATTAAAGTTATCAAAGATGAGTAGGTACCGTATTTAATCCTTATAACAAAACACAGACAATAAAACTAGATGAAGCCGATGTAGTTTTTATTACGTTAAAAAGAAAACAAAGATTACGTTATCTCTATGTTATACTTGCTTGACAACAAATTATAACACATTCCGATAACAATACTAGTGTGGGGTAAAATATTTCTAAACAAAACTCTGTCTTGAATAAGTATTAAAATTTAACACCGTAATTTTATTCTTAAATATTCTAATCTTTATTTTTATATAGGTATATTCCACATTTATATTTGTTCTAATTTATATCTATTATATCTTTTTTGATAATGTTCTTTAAAAATAGCTTGATATCGCCTTTTTTTAACTAAAAATTATAGGTCGAAACACAATGCAACAATACCTTTTTTTCTTAAAAGTAAAATTATTATGTAATTAAATAACAATTTTCGTAAAATCGCTTTCTGCTAGTGTTAATCCATAACCAGACGGACGGAGGTCGGTCGGACGGTAAAAACAGTTTGACCGTCTGAAAAAAATTTGGACAAAGAAACGCAGAACCACTCTTTTAAAATTAGTTTTGACGACCGTAGCAACATTTTAACAAAGGCTTCAAACGATTGAGGCTAGCTCATTTGTGTTTGTGGTCAAAACGGCAAGGAAGAGTTAATAAGAAAATGGTATTTTCTTTCCATCTTTGTCACTGTAGAGAAGCTGTCGAGAGTTGTGGCAGAAGCGCAGACCGTAGGCGGTCAGCGGTTCGCCCATGACATGCCAATTTCAACGACATAATTCATCGTGTTCTAGTTGCCGCCAGCATTTTAGCCGTATGTAAACCAAAGCTTACCAACATACGGGTGATTGTAAGACGTCATAGCATGGGCAAGGGCTTCAAAATGCTACTTCTATTCATAGACCAGAAGGTCAATTCTCGTAATCATTCTCGTATTATAACAATTCATTCAAAATTCGGTGCCTATCTAGTCTCGATCAAATGTCGTAATGTCAAAAGATATTTTCGTACTAAAGTATTAAACATCTAAAGTTGCCTGTAATGTAATTATATCGTATTCTGAATGAAAATTGAATCGGTAATCCTGCTAGTCTTAGTAATACTTTAATACTTTACTACGAAAATACCATTTAGAATTATGAAGAATTTTTTTAACAAGAATTGGCCCCTTGAGAATTTTTCCCGCACTGAGATGTCGCATTCTCATTCAACGTGGCAATGAACAATCAATGGGTAGTGTGTTTTGTATATCAAGCTTTTTTCAAATAATTTAACTATGTACTAAAATACTTTTAAATAGTTCATGATAAGTTCAATACATCTTTGCTCATACCGTTTAACAATTCCACATCAGCCCAAGGTTGAGCGCTACGGAATACTTTGAACTTTTGGCCGTCTTTGTACAAATGTCCTAGAAGTTTTAAGTAATTAAAAACAATTTGATACTATCTAGTACATTTACTAGGAAATTAAGAGATAGTTAACATCTAAAGGTAATTTACCTAATTGTCACTACGTTAATTAAGTCATTTTAACATAGGCATGCCAACAAACGAGTAAACATTTTATTCGAACTCCAAATTTTTATAGTAAACCGAGCAATTTTTTTTTTTATGGGGTTATCTCTTAAATTACCTACTTTCGTTTCCAAAACCAACATAAATTATGCCACTTTTTTTGGTAATTTGAAGGCCAAATATATTTTATATGCCTTATTATTTGATTTTACGACAATAAATCAAAACAACCTGACCTATAGTAGAATTATTTTCTCCGTGCAGTTTGGGTCATAAACCATAGCTCGGCCCCGGCCCGGCTAGGGCGGTGAGCATGTTGCGCGGGCGCAACGCCACTATCGATAAGAACAAATGAGTCATCAAAGGCAGGTACACGGCGGCGGAGCGGTATACAAAGGTGGTGAGACATTGTTATGTTATAAGTCATTTGTTGTTCCCCACTGCAAATTATAGTACATATGTCGAAGAGAAATGTGTTTTTGTGCATTCGCTCTCTGAATTTCTTTAGTGACACAATGGCTACTCCTTTGTTTTGTACCAAAACGGCAGAATTTATTAAAAATAATATTTTCATTTTAAATATAGGTATAAGTATTTATATTTATTCTTAACATAACTTTTTACATTCTTAACTATTGTACTTATAACAATACATACTAATAATTTATTCTTTTATTACAATATTATATCTTATCTTTTATTATTATTCTTATTTTAATAAATACGTTGTTTTATCTATTTTTTTTTAATTTTTGTCACTAACCCACAAAATGACAAAACTAAATACACTATCGATAACGCTTATCGACAACAATAATGTGCATCACTATGCCTGCCCATAAGGCTCGTGAGTGGAAGAGAGAACGAAATACTCGCTTCACCGCTCCGACTATTTATGACCGAAACTGCACGGAGAAAATAATTCTACTATAATCATTTTATCTTTAGATAGTTATGATACACTTTATTGTCGGTACTCACCGAGACATCCTAATCCGTGTTCTACGTATAAACTTTAGTACTGGCCAAATCTCTCGAGACTTAAAGTTTGCTAGTTAGTATTAAACAATAACATTAAAAAAAGACAACCGAATCATATCCTACTGTCGTAAATAATGAACATGTACCATATACATTCAGTCAAAAAAGTATCGGGAATGGATGATTTGTTTATGGTTCCAAATTCAAATTTTTGTTTTTTTGTTATTGTTGTTAGGTTGGCACAACTGTTTTCCATTTTGGCGCGGAGTTTGGGTTGCATCTGTTATTTATATTAAATACAGTGCTGTTTTCCGTTATATCATTATCTAGTGTGTATTGCGAATTTCATAATGGACAAAAACATCGAAGAGTTTGTCTTAAATTTTGCATTGCCAATGGAATTTCGTGTTCAGAGTCACTGAAAATGTTACAGAAGGCTTACGGTAAATCGACATTATCAAAAACACGTGCTTATGAGTGGTACAAAGCGGTCGAGATGTGATGGAAGATTTGCCTCGCTCTGGAAGGCCCTCAACGTCTGAAATAGTGACTGAAAATCCTCATTCAACTTGGAGACAGATAGCCGCTGAACTTTCTGTATCTCCTTCTATTACATTTGGCTTGGCACCGACTTCAAACCTATCAATAGGTAGCACATACAAACAATAGTATTTTATTAATATTAAAGGTTTGCATAAGAGGTGTATTAAATTTAATCTTTATTAAGTTATTTTATACTTTTTAGTTTTTGAAGTCGGTTTTTTTAAACGTAGTTTTTTTATTTTTTACTTTTTAGTGTCTGAAATAGGTTGTTCTGTTAACTACAATAGGATTTTTCTAGATTACATCAGGTAAACTATAACATTTCGTTGCTTTTTATTGTCATATCTAATAGTATTTTTTTTAGTTTTCAAATAGTAAGTAGCTATGGGTACGCCTACGAAAGGTGCAGCGCGCCTTAAACAATATAGATCCCAAGAAACGAGAACGGAATAAATAATAGTTTAAAAAAACTAAAATTAAAAACACGCTTTTATAGAAAATCCAACTAAAAAACAGAAAATAAAGTTTAATAAATTTGGATTAATAATAGTGTAAATTTGATTAAGTTTGATTAAGTACAGTGTAAAAAAAAAATGAATGTACATTACAGTAAAAAAGCGTGGGGTGTATCTGAAGTGCTTTTTATGATATTATCAAAGTGATGATTTTTCTACTCATCTGACAATAAATGTTTATAACTATTGACACTATGCACCCCACGCTTTTTTTTACAATAATGTACATTCATATTTTTTTTACACTGTACTTAATCAAACTTAATCAAATTTACACTATTATTAATCCAAATTTATTAAACTTTATTTTCTGTTTTTTAGTTGGATTTTCTATAAAAGCGTGTTTTTAATTTTAGTT